TTTTAATCACCTCCTTTACTTTGAAATGCATGGGAAAATTCCACAGTTGTTCCCAACTACCTATTTCTCACAGCATCAGCTGCCTTGTAACCTTAACAGCTGGATGCTGAGGTAGGAGGCAGGGCTGCTCAGGGCATCTCGCCACAGTGCACCTGAGGCTTAATGAGAAAGCATCAACCAGAAGGCAGTTGCCAGTGTTCTACCACAATAAAATCTTGTCATTGAAATTATCTTTTATGTTTCAAAGGCAGCAGATGTTTTGGAATCTGGTGATGTTCGCCACCATATTTTGTAGGAAGAAAACCTCCAGCCATAAAAATCAATCTAAGGCTGATTAAGAAAAACCTTCCCATTTAGTCCTGACAGCCGTTGGGTTCATTGATGCCTGCATGGCTTGCTGTAGGCAATGTGCTCATGGCTTTTCTCATTGCTATGACAAAATACCTGACAAAGAAACTTCAAGAAGAGTTTTTTTAGCTCATGGTGTGAAGATACAATCCGTCATTATGGAGAAAGCATGAGGCAGCCTCTCACGTTGATCTTCCATCAGGAAGCAGAGAGGTGCATGCTGGTGCTCAGCTCACTTCTTCCTTTTTATTCAGCCTGAGACCTCTGCACCTGAGACAGTACCACCCACGTTCAGGTAAGTCTTCCCATCTCAGGTAAACCTCCCAGGAAATACTGTCTTAGGCACACCCAGAGGTGTGGTTCCTAGGTCATCTAAATCCTAACCACCACAGCCAGGATGTCACCTTTCCTGTGTAAGGTGCTTGAAAACAGTCATTACTGATCACATTGCAGTTAACACCAACAAACAGTCAAGATACTTTGTTTACATAGAAACAAATGGACTTTGGACACTGTGAAATGAGGAGTCTGGTTGAGGTGGAAACTCCCTTGATTATTTTGATGTAAAATGATTTATACTCCATTGGACGTGGCTGGGCATAAGTAGGTCATTCTTTACAGCATAATTGTCTGAGTCTGTTTTCTACAGCTGTAGCAGAATCCCATAGTTGGATAAGAGGAAGAAAGGGAGGGAGGCAGGCAGAGAAGGAGGGAGTGAAGAAGGAGGGAGGGACAGAGGGAGGAAGGAGTGTTTCTCACAGTTCTGAGACTGTGGAAAGTCCAGAGGAAGGCACTGTGTTGGCACTCTGTCTTCCATTACATGGTGGAAGGGCAATCCATCAAGAAAGATGAAGGAAGAAAATCAGGCTGAACTCTTCCTTTTGTCCCAGAATAACACCTTAACCTATTCATAAAGGTGGGGCCTTCATGACCCAATCACCTTGTACATAAATGATCCCTTTGTGAGGATGTTAACTTCCTATGTAAGTTTGGGAGGGACTTTCAGACTGCAGCAATCATGTGTCAATAATTCCAAGTTCATCTAGAAAATTAGTATGGCATGGAACCAGCCCAGGCCCACACATGCTCTAAACAAAGCGCTTTCACTTGGTACCAAGTCTGGCTTCTTTGCAAGTCCCTTCAGGTCATTCAGGTGTACAGACGGGAGCCCATCCTGAGGAGTTCAGTTAAAACTACACAGTCTACCATGAGCTGAAAAGAGCAACTGAAAAAGAGGTGATCTAAGAGCACATTGCTTCCTTCAAAGGAAGACTGTGGCATCAAGTACACTCTCACCTTTGGGACATTGCAGGAAAATTTCTAGACAAGACCTGCTCAGAACTTGGCAGGCCAAACACAGCCTGAGTGTCTGGGGGTTACAGACCCTGGATTATGAGGGAAGAAGACACACTGGCATGAAGGGCCTTATGGATCTTCCACTGGGCTGTCTCCCTAACTCTGACAGCTCCAATGCATGGTCTGTGATATATTTGGCCTTGAGGTAGCTCTCAGAACTAAGCTAGTCTAATTCCCCCTACAACAGACCTTGCTAACCGCATGTAAAGGTAAACTGGTCAAGGAAAAGGGAAGCTGCTAGGATTGCTCAATAAGCCAGCTGCCATGCACAGCAGCTGGATCTACATGTAGGCCTCAGCCTGCCGCCAGGCCTCAACCTCCACATCTGCCACACTTCAGCATGCGCTGCTCTGACAGTGCCTTCGTTATTTCTGAATCTTCTCAGCTGGCTTCAGTGGGCAAAACCTTGCTGCCTTCTTTCCCTGGTTCCTCCTTAGTTAGCTCAGCAAAGTAGATGGTCAGTAAGTTCTTCCTGGATACAATGAAGAGCAAGTTCTAGAAAGAATTCAGAATCAGCAGAGCACAGTCAAAAAAAAAAAAAAAAAATGAAAGCAGGCTAGTGAGATGGCTCAACAGATGAAAAAACTTGCCACCAAGCCTGATGACCTGAGTTCAATCCCTGTAACCCACATGGGGGAAGGAGAGAACCAACTCTTACAAATTGTCCTCTGATCTCCATATGTATACCATGTTGTGCACATGGGCACACACATACACATACACACAATAAATAAATGTAAAAGCATTTTTAATGGAACAGGTGGTGTAGTGGTTAATCTCAGTTGTCAGGTTGATGAGATTTAGAACCACCTAGGAGGCACACCTCTGTGCATGTCTGTAAAGACCGTCCCAGACAGGTAAAGTAAGAAGGGAAGGCCCACCCCAAATGTGGGTGGCCCTACGCCATGGGCTGGAGACGTTGACTGAATAAAAAGGAGAAGGTGAACTGAGCACAAGTGTTCATCTTTCTCTGCTTCCTGACAGTGGATGCCCTGTGACCAGCTGCCTCACACTCCTGCTGCCACGCCTTCCCTCCTTGATGGCCTGTACCCTGAAACTGTGAGCCACAATAAACCCTTCCCTAATGGCTTCTGTCAGGTGTTTTGTCACAGCAACAAGAAAAACAGCTAACTGGAATAGTGACAAGGGTGTGATGGTCAGGTTACAGGCCTAAATGGACTCCTACAGGAGTTTCCCTGAGGCCAGGGACAAAGGTGAGGCACCCCAGGAAGACGGGGTGATTCCAGTAGAGCACCCTCACAGGTGCTGGCCTGGAAAACACTCCCAGAGGTTGCCAGAGGGGCTGTGGATTCAGTAGCCTCTGTGCCCTGGTGACCATGGGGAGGCTGAGGCAGCTTTAGCATCTCTGCCTGGTGAGCAGGCTGGTAGAAGTGGGCATGCTGACAGGAAACACTTAGCTTTGACTTGGAAGGTTACAGCAAGTGTGGGCATGCAGGTCCCCCGTGGCTATCCCTGTTGCTCCCTTTGTATGACTCCTGTGTCCATCGGAGTTGTCTCTGTGTCCACGGTCCCATCCCTTGTCCTTGTCAAGGCTTCACAGACCCCTGAAGGCTTGCTCTTCCCCTAGGAAATTCCCATATGGGTGTCTTACTGCAAACTTCAAATACTCCTATTCAACTCAGCATATAGTTGTTTAGGATCTAAAGTACTGACCGTGCTATTAAAGGTAGAACCACAAGCTGGCTTAGAGGCATCTAACAAGAGTCCTGAATCTTAATCAGGAAGGTAAGGCTCAGAGAAGTTGAGTTTCTTGCCCAAGATCACACAACTTAGGGGTGGAAGTGGGACTGAAAGTCTGAGGTCAGGGACAGAGACCCAACAATCCCAGGAGGGAAGAGTAGCTCCAACATGGCCCCTCCCTTCCTTCCATGCTCCCAACAAATGGAGCCTTTGCCAGGACTTAGGTTGACTCATTCGCTCAACTTCTAGTTGGTTTATTTGAGGAAAAACATAGCTTATATCGGCTGGCATTATCTGTGGGATTACAGCCCCTGTGGACACAGATACAACTGAGTTGGAAATCAGAAGGATCTGTAAAATGTTGAAGGTGGAAAACCCCCAAAGCAGATAGTGTGGCTTACCAGAGAGGCTTCAGAATATTCCCACAATTCACTTGTTTATCATCTGGAGTAGGTACTACCTCAGAATGTAGAATGTACTAGGGACAGCTTGGGGCTATGTGAACTTCCCCTGCCTCTAAGCCCCTAATAAGCACTTGCAAGGAACAGTGTATTTGGCAGGCTAAGTTAATGTCTCTGTTCATCTGCCAAGAGTAATACAGGTGGTGGCCAGCGAGAGGCACTGGTCATGCCCTCTCCCTCTCTGGACACTGCTCCATACTCTGCCCTAAGCCACCCTGCTCTTTGGCTGGACTCAGGCTGGGGGAAGGATGATGCACAATTTCCATGTGCCAATTAAGAAAAATCTGAAAGGAAAACAGAGTGGGAAAAAGCTTCCTGGTCAGGAGCAACCAGATGTGCAGGGAGCAGGCTTGGGCAGGTGAGATGGCTCATCAGCAAAGGCACTGCTCAAAACTGATGACCTGAATTCAATCCCTGGAACCCACATAAAGATGGAAGGAGAGAATGACTCTACAAAAAGCTGTCCTCTGATCACTACATGCATGCTGTGGAATGTGCCCTCCCTGATAATAATAAATCCATTCTTAAGAGATGAGGGCTTGGGGCTGGAGAGATGGCTCAGAAATGGTTAAGAGCACTGACTGCTCTTGCAGAGGACCTACGTTCGATTCCCAGCACCCACATGGCGGCTACGAACCTTCCTTAACTCCAGTTCCAGGGGAATCTGAAGCCCTCTTCTGACCTCTGCCAGCATTGTGTGACACGGGTGCACTCACATACATGCAGGCAATACACTCATTCACATAAAATAAAAATAATAAAATATTTTTTTAAAAAAGATGAGGGCTTATAGGGGCAGAATAACTCTCCTGGTTTGGTCCTGAAAGTGGTCTGCAGAAAACTAAATGGTTCCACAAGGCACTGGGATCGAACCCAGAGCCTTGATTACAATAGGCAGGAACACCACCACTGAGCCACACCCTGAGCATGCTCCTCAACCTCTCTGGATGCTGACCTAGCAGCTCCTCGCAGCATCTTCCAACCCTGTCTCCTGGGTTTTCACAGAACCTCTGTATTGTTTGGTCACGCATACCATACAACATGCCTCTGGGTATGGCCACCCCTGTGGACCTCCTCACTGTGGACCCCCTCTGTAAGCTGCTTTAACCAAGCACCCATGCTGTGTCCCCACAGGTCTCCCAGGCAGCCGCGGACCTCCTGGCCTACTGTGAAGCCCACATGCGGGAAGATCCGCTCATCATCCCAGTGCCTGCCTCAGAAAACCCCTTCCGGGAGAAGAAGTTCTTTTGTACCATTCTCTGACACCCATGGTGATGAAATGTGTCCTTTTCTGTTGTGAAATCCTGTGTAGAGACCATGCATGCTCTCGCGTGCCACCCACACCCATCCCATCCCTGCCCAACCTATCACAATCTGGGCTCATCCTGTTTTATCATATTTTCTTCATGACATAAAATTTCTTCTTCTTTTTTGTTTCGTTTTTCCATAAAAAAGAAAACATTTTTATAGCCAAATAACAAATGTGCCATGTAAAAGTATAGATTTAAGCGTTTACAGTTTTTAAGCATTAATTCCCAAGTGTAAATACGTCAGGTTAATAAATTTCAGTGAATAATTTATTGAAATATAAACCATGCCCACGTGTCCCCCTGCACGAATAGCTCAGTATCAAATGAGAGCATTTAGACGTGCTGGCCTTTGCGGAGGAGCCTGCTCCCTTCCCCCACCCCAGCCTTCCCTCACAGGACTGGGACAGGTCTCTTACCATGTCTTCAGGGTGCAGGCAACCAGGCCCTGGGGGTGGCTGTTGTCTCCATTGCTTCTCCCTCACCATTCCAGAGCCAGGCCCTCTACCAATGCATCTGTGTAGATACAAGGGCAACCCTGACCGTAAATCCTCATCATGACAGCCAACAAGGTACACACTCCGGTGAGACCCACTGGGCCATCTCCTTACTCCAAAGGCCAGTCTTCATGCCTGCTCCCTCCTACTTGGTATTCCTGGGGGGCACAGCACTGGGCCCCTGGGGTCTCAGCAGGGTAGCCCCTGCCCTGCAGGAGTGAATCAGAGTCACCATACCACTCACCAATCTTAGAGTTGATGGGTCTTAATATATTCTAACTTATTGTTAGACCCTGAGTGTGGGTCTGTTTAAAGAAAAGGATCCCAAGGCACAGACATATGTTAGCCAAAGGCTACAGACAGGAAGTAAGCAAACCAGGAAGTCCATGCCAGCAGTCTAGCTCCAGAACCCTCCCTGAATCCCTGAACCGTGACACCTACCAGTTGTGCTGATCCAGAAACAACCCAAAGCGGACACTAGGAAGCTAACCGAACACTAGGTCACAGCACCACTCAGCTGCGCACTTTTTTGCTGCCTTTGCCAAAAGAAGTCTCCCAAGCCCAGATTCCAGCAGTTTATGAAAGACAGTTTGTGGGTACCCTGAAGACCTGATGGCACTTAGCCTGTGGGCCCTCTAGAACCCCTTGTGCCCTTCTGATTGGGGGGCGGGTAACATAGTTGCTAAGAGCCCAGTGAGGAAGTATGTTCTGTCTTGTGTATTAGGAAACTGCCTTTCCTCTGGCTCTGGAAGAGGCCTGCTGTGTGCTCTGGGCAACATTGTACGCCCAGCTGTTCTAACCAGCAAATCTGAGACAATGTTAATTACCCCTCCTGCTTTCCTGCCAGGGAGGCCATCAAGTGGGGTTCAGATTATCATTGAAGACCAACGCCTGCCACATGGCAAGCAGTCGAGTCAAGAAGGATGTGTGAGTTAAATAGACAACATGGTTCGGGTGATAAAGACTGTAAGATTGCCTCCAGAGAGGCAATTACGATTTTCAGATCAATTCATGTCGCGGCCCTTGTAGATGGTCTTGGAGAAGACCTTTCAGCCTTTGTGGAACCATCCTTAGTTCATTAGTGTGTGCTGGTAATGCGGTGTTTCAGGGAAGCTGTGTGCAGAGTTCAGCAGCCTGTACATGAGGTGAGAGGCTAAGATTCTGTGTGGCTGTGGCAAGCGTCTCTTTATTCTGTAGCTCATTGTTGGGTTCATTAACCCAACAGAGTGAACCATGGTCCACAAAAGCTGAGGAAGTGGGACGTCACCAAGGAGGGCAAAGTCAGGCCAGGAGAGCGCTTTAATCTCCCACCAAGTATTTCTCCCTGTTTGTGCACTATCCTGATTTTCAACTGTCTTTCTTATATTCCCCCTTGTCCACCTGCAACAGTCCTGGAAGACAGTCCCACTCCACCCCTAGGCTCCGTTGAGCTTCCTCACCCCATCCATCTCTCTACTTCTCCCTTCTAGCTCTCTGTTAATTCTTTGAGTCTCTGAGCTCCTTCCAGTAAACTCATTATTCCATGAAACACCCTAATTGGATGTAAATACTGTGTGGCTTGACATTTGCAATCCTGGATATATACTCAACAGAATGTGTACATATATATTTCAAAAGAAATGCACTAGAGTGCGTGTCCAGAGAAACACTGTTCCTAACAGCCCCAAACTGGAAAGAGCCTGAATGCCCGTGTGGAAGAGATAAGCACAAGAGGGTGAGTCACAGGAGGGTATACTCTACCCACAGCCCACAGCATTTCACACACCCGGTTGGGGTGAGAACCTGGAAGACCAGCCCTGCAATCATTTTCACACAGTCCAAAGCCTGGCAGGAGAATCCGTGGTGTTCCAAGGAGGGACAGAGGCTGTTCTCAAATGCCCAACAGAGAGGGGACGTGTGAGGGGCTTCACAAAAGTTCTGGCTCTGGATCTGGCAGCGGGTCACCTGGGTATGTTTAGTTTGTGAAATTTCTCCCAGCTGTTCCCTTTTGGGTGCTTTCCTGTATGTGTGTTAATCTCAATAAAACGTTGGGGTTTGTGACTCAATGCTAGGTCCCTCTGTCATTTATTTTTTCTTTATTTTTCTCTTGTCTGGCACCTTGTTCAATGTCTGGCTCTTCTTTATCCAGACACTAATAACTCACAACATTAGTGGGACATTTTCAGGGTGTGCTTGACAACATTTTGAAGGAAGTTCTTACAGTCCTACAATCCCCAGCTGGCTGGAGGGCAGACTGCCAGCACCATGCTGGTGGCTCCCCTCACTAATGCCATGCTGTGGGATTTGTGGGGAAACAGTGAGGCACCCTCCGTGGCTTCCTCTGGGTGGCTTAGATGACATTCTCAGCCTCCTGCTTTCTGACAATCAGGAATAAAGGGATAGGATGGCCTTCCAGGAATCCCCATCATTGGAGCGTACCCCTGGAGCAAAAGCCCAAGGTGACATAGCTGACACAGGCTGAAACAGCAGGTGCTTCTGGCTGCTCCTTCACTCTTCTCCCATGGAGGGTTCTACCAGCCTCCAACCTCCCACATTTCCCAGGCCGTCAGTGCTGAGTCCCCTCTCAACTCCACAGGGCCTTTACTGTTCTCCCTCTCACTGCTCTGCATGTAGAGACCCAGGGCGATCACAGAGCATTGTCCCGCTGAGCCCCCTCTACAAGGTCTTGCCTTTGATGCTGAGCTCCTGCCCCCGCAGACCTCCAGGAGGAAGCTAGGACGTGTCAGCACACACACCACTAAGAGCTACAGGAGAGAGCAGAGTAATCAAAAGGGGTTCTGTACTGATGACTGCGGCCTGAAAACAGCAGGGGACGGGGGCAGTGGTTCAGGGGACAGGGGCAGTGGTTCAGGGGACGGGGGCAATGGTTCAGGGGACGGGGGCAGTGGTTCAGGGGACGGGGGCAATGGTTCAGGGGATGGGGGCAATAGTTCAGGGGACAGGGGCAATGGTTCGGATAGTTTCTTTACACTACTACTCCCTCTGGGTGATAGGAAGACACCAAGATCATGGGCACCTCACTTCCAGCCCCATCTCCTGGACTGAGCACCTCACTCCACCCTCCCCAGGCCCAGAGCAACAGTGGTGGCCAATGAGCAGCTGTCAGCCTAGGTTCCATCTTCCTGGGCCTGCGTGTGGAAAGCCCAGTGACACCTGCTGGTCGCAGTCTGACATTCTGTTTGGTTTTTCAAATGTTTTTTGAAAAAAACGTGTGGACACGTGTTTATTCACATGTGTATGGGTGTGAAGGTCAGAGGTTGCCACTAAGTATCTTCCTTAGTTATTGGCTGCTTTAATTTTTGAAATGGGGTCTCTTCACTGAACGTGGAGCTGACCGTTTTGGCTAGACTGGCTGAGCCACAGGTCCCTGGGATCTACCTGTCTCCACCCTACCCCAGAGCCAGGACACAGACATGAGCTGTCACACCTAGCTTTTAGGTATGTTTAGGGGCTCCAAACTCACATCCTCATGTGTATGCAGCGAGCGTGCTCCACTGAGCCATCACACTAGCCCTCCATTTGGTTTTTAATCAAATCCCTCTGCTTGAGTTTGCTTTAGTTATAATGATTTGCTAACTTGTGACATTTCCAAACCCATTTATGGGAATTACCCATAGGCAGTTTTTCCAGATCCATAGTTTCAGTGGCTCCTCCGGGCTGTGGCCTCAGAGGCCCTGCGTGCTTGGCCCTTACTCTACAGTGTCGCTGCCACACCTCACTCTGAGCCCTGTGCTCCTCTTCACTGCCATTGTTCAAGCCTGCCTTGTTGACTGTTCCTGCTGCCACAGAGCCTTTGCTCCTGCTGTCCTCTGCCTCTCTATGCCAAGTCTATTTATTTTGTAGATTTCAACTCAAGATCAGACAGGGGTCAACCTCAAATGGCCTCTCTGACAAGCTCAAATTCATCTCTAGGGTCTCCTGATGAAGTAAGACTATTTTACATCTGTATTAGTGATTTGCAAGGGAGACCTGTTCCCCCACGCTGTTGTAAACCGCAGGAGGGTGGAGGCCCTGGTGTCGCTGACTGTTGCATCCCTAGCACTGAGCAGGTCACCTGGTTCATGATAGCTACTCAATAAGTACCATCTGGACTCAGGCTGTAGCACAATGAGGAGAGCTTACCTAGCATGTTCATGTACATGTACAAGGCCCTGGGTTTGATCCTTAGCACCTGTAACTCCCCTGCTATCCCATAAGCCCCCCTGCTTGACAGATGCCCAAAAACTGAGATCAGACCAGGAGACTGTTGGCATTTGTCTGCTCAAGAGCGCTTTTACTATCCTCTTGAGAGCTTTATTGGAAGCTCAGTGTTTGAAGTTCACACAGAGTTTACATATGATAAACCCTCAAGCAGAACAAAACACATAGGAATTTTCTCATCATGACGGTGAGAAAGCAAGCACAATGTACCGCAGGCAGTAGAGACTGGCCCAGGAACAGATCTCCTTTGACGTATGTAGAAACATAAAAGCGGGGGGCTACACCTGCCCTGGCATCCCAAGGACAGCTTGTCTGGTCTTCCCAGCATTCTGGGCACAGACTGTCCCCTCCTCAAGCCGCTACATCAACAGAGTCCAAAGAAGTCTGTTAACTTAGTGAGCCAAGGCAGGAGCCTGTTGACTCTTAGTGAGCAGAGAGTGCACTATTGTACCTAAATGATAAGGGGGGGGGGCACTAAAAGCGCTGCCAAAAGTTTGATTTGATTGTGTGTGAAACAATCACACATTGATTGTTTGAATCAATGTGTGAACATTGCTACTAGTTCAGTGACAGACTTTGAGTTCCCATTATCACTGCTGTCTGGATTTGAATCCAGATAGATCCACCTGAGGCCACCACCATACTGCCTGTTTTCACACTAAGGAGCTTAAAACTGAAAGGTGGGGCTGGGAAGATGGCTCAGGTAGTAAAGTGCTTTCCACACACACACAAGGACTTGAGTTCAAACTCATGTGAGAAAGCTGAACTCTGTGGTGAGTGCTTATAATCCCAGAACTGAGACAGTAGAGACAGGAAAATTCTGAGGCTAGCCCAAAACAATGAGAGACCCTGTCCAAAAAGCAAATTGGACCACTCCTGAGGAACAACACCCAAGACTGACCTCTGACCTCGGCCCACACATGCACATACACCTCCCCCATACATATGCATCTACACACACACACACACACATTCATCTCCTGAGCTGCTAGGAAACCATGAAAGCACACTGTTGGCCTCATAGCCTTGTAGTGCTTTCTCGGCACTTAGAAGCCATAAATTACTTGTGTGCTACAAATGCAGCTTCACGCTGTGAAGCTGAACACCAGCTTAATGGTGGTGATTAAGGCCGGGGGAGGGCTGCCTCTGGGTAAGAGATGAAAGAGCCACAGGAGCAGGAAGGTGGCATCCTCCAGTGAGCTCCAGAGGCAGCATTAGTCAGGGTAGCCATATTTGGAGGGGGGAATAGTGCAGTGTTTCTGTGAAGAAAGAGGCCTGTTATTACCACAGCAAGGGGTCTGGACAAGTATTCATGCTCCGACTTTTCTTTCCAAATCTTTTGGTAAAATTCTTATCATTTACTTGGAGCTTTTTACATTTTTATTAGATTATGTTTCAGTTTTTTGCTTTTAAGTTAAATTAGACTTCATTGTATTCTGTTTTGAGTGTAAACCAATCCCTGCAACATAAAAAAAAAAAACAAAAAACAAAAAAAACACTGGTTGTCCTGGATGCTTTGAGGCCATTCTCCCAACACCTGCTTCAGGATATGATAATTGTATCTCATCCTAGCTCTGCCTAGCCTCTGACATTTGGACACTCAGATCCACCTAAGCACATCCTACTTTTAGCTCAAATTACATAGGAACAAGCCAGTAACAAAGGACAGGAAGGAACTTGGGACATGACTCCATGGGCCACATGCTTGCCTGGCATGTATAAGGCCCTGTGTTCAACCCCAGTATCACCAAAGAGAAAACCAAAACTCAGGTAGCTTAGAGGACAAATAATGACTAAGCCAGAAGTATTTAGAAGCCAAAGAAGAAAATAGTAGAAACAAGCCTGAGCCTGGGAACCTGAGAGTCTTGGGTTGAGCCCTGGGTCTGTCCTATGCTGGCTTTGCAGACACTCAGAGCCCTTGTGGCCTCCTGCAGTCATGTGAGGATAATGGCAACCCTCTCATAAGGACTCGAATATTTGATAAAATAAAACAAGAAGTGGGTAGCATTGCCTGACAACATGTGTTCCATAAACAGGCATTGATTAGCAATTAGCTTTGCCTCTGAGGCAATTATTGTGTAAACGGGATCCAATAGAGACTCAGAATTTGGGACAATATTGTGCCACTTGCCAAAGCTGTACTGAAAAGAGAAGGTAACAGATATCAGACAGCTGGCACCCATCCCACTCCAGCACCTTGGTACACCAAAATCACAAGCTTTTTGTACATAAACATAATTGAGGTTGCTGTTAGGGTTTGGACCCACAGCAACTCCCTCCCCAATGCAGCAGGGCCTCATGGGTTCTCAAGCCCCTGAGAATACAGGAACCAAGCTGATGAACACCCTGGTCTCTGAAGTCAAAAGAAGCAGACTTTTCTGCACCTTTTGGCCAGCACAGCAGGCTTTCCCTTTGATCTTAAAGGGCAAACAGACCCTCTTGACCGAGATCCTGGCTGAGGACAGAAAGGGGCAGGGGGCGGGTTTTAACTGAAGCTGCTCTGACAAGTCCCACTCTCCTGCTTCCCCCCCCCACCTAATTTTTTTAAAAAGTCTTCTAGCCTTCTGCACCCCCTGAAACCCCGTATAAAGACCCCAGCTCACAACTATGGGCTGAGATTTTCCCTGCCCCAAGGGACTTGTCCTGTGTGAGGTTTCCTTTATAATAAATTCTATCCCACTGGAGTTTTTATCTGTGTCCTGGTGCTTTCTCCTGATCAACCCAATTCATCCATCCACTTCATCTATCATATGGTGCCAAAACCCAATTCTGACCTCAAGGGACTGCAGTGACCTTTCAGAACTCCCACATAAAAACCTCCAACTGGGCCTGCTTGCTGTTACTG